TACCAGCTCCCAACCCCTTAGCTCAAACTTTACAAAAGTCGATAAAATCGACGTTGATAGATAACGAAAAGTAGCCTACGACATCCCTCCCGCCCCGAAAGGTATATATGTGTGCAAAGTTTGGTCCGAATCAATTCAAAAATAAAAATTTCTATTTGAAAAATACGTACATACAGACAGACATACATACAAGCAGACATTCAGCTTTGTGTATAAGATTTCAAGCTTCGAAAAACCTAATGGGTTGACCTAGTATTTCCTCTATAATACGCATCCAGAAATGGCGTATATATGAAGCTGCATAGCACTAAACAGCATAAATGAGTACTCTCAAACCGCCATTAATGTGCCGAAACGCCTCTGTAGACGACGTTGCAAGCAATGTGAACGTAAAAAATTTAGGCAAGCGAATTGCAAATTTTTATATAAAGATGAGTCCTGAGCTAGGTTCCTATTAGCAGCGAATCAACGTAAAAGCCACAAAAACAATTCAAAACTACGAAAAATTCTTCCAGTGAAAGAAGGAAAATTTGAAATCAGCTTCTACTTATGTCATTTCATTTTGGACTTTCCATCCAGTACGTTAAACTCCTCTCCAAAGGGATACTGCATTCAGAGGAGACCTACCAATTTGTAAGCATACGGAGCGCGATTTGTGGAGACTAGAATGGGGCCTCTCTGTAAAATGTTAACAATTATATCGTTTGCGCAAGTAGCAATAAGTACCCTTACTACATGATAGGTAGAGCCTTCTACGATATCACCGGTCTCAAAATATCGCTTTAATCCATAATCTCCTAGCACACACTTCCTGAACTGTGTATAATCATAGTGTGTAAGCATAACTTTGGTGAGAGCATACCTGGACAACAGTTTATCATTTTGCGCCATAACTTCCTTTTCATCACTTTCATCGGAGTGCTGAATAAACATTGCGTGATTTTGTAGGCATAAAGTGTTAGTTTATATTCAGTATTGAACATTAACCCACAATAAGAACTGTGATTTTGATGAGCTAAGACATAAGTAAACTCGGAAATCAAAAAAGACGGGGACTCCATTACTAAATAAACATACCGTTTGCAGATCGCCAGCACCAATATCACCCTCTTGGAATGCGATTCCAGCATTGTCTTCGCTAAAAATATGAATTGGAGGAAAAATTGTATATTATCCTATTGTATTTCGGTACCTTATTGAGCTTTTCAAAATATGTCAAAAGCAACGGAAGCACTCATCACCATCAAATCCTAGAGTTTTTGGCATTGAATAAACTTGCAAGCATGAAAAAAGACGGAAATGTTGGATCTATTCCAATAGCTCAATTAGCTACCAGGCAAACTTATCTTTCTATTGTATTCTGCATGGTACAAGAGTCACCGAACATTTTCAAATGACTTTGACTTTGATGAACTACGACTTGAGGAAAACAAGATTGACTATTAGTACAATCTCGCAAAAAACCTGGATGTGGCCCCCTCCCCCATTTTTTTGATGAGAACACAAAGAGTAAGCATTGTTTCACTTGTCTTGCATTCGTGGGAAAAATAAAGGCCAATATTGCCGTAGATTCCGTGATCGTATGATAGATAACCCAAAAGCAGAGCTTATTATAACTTCTGAATTATCCAGGTAACCCCGAAATCGACTATATTCACTCACATTTCCTGACGAGATTCACTTAGGCGATTGAGTATATCTTCTAATCGGCAAGGTTCATTGTCAATTTTCTCAGCATTGACTTGACGAGCTATAAGGAGAAAAGTAAGTGAATTAGCACGGGTTTCTTGAATTTGCTCACTGTGTTCAAATCGTTCACTCGCCAAATCGTCTTCAGCCAAGTATCCGTAATCGTCGCAAAATACGTCGTCTTCATCGTCCTGTACAAGAAATTTTTTACATGAATGGACGCGAAAAGAGAGCTGATTCATTGAAAGGTTTGCGAAATTTTAAATTGCTTCATCTGCGTTTTTTTTT